CATCAACCGTTTCCTATTTAATGAACACATATATTTTCTTAACAATTAAATTAGGAGCAACTTTAAGGTATATGTGTCTCAATAACTCCAATGGTGGCTAGCATATCTTCTCAATAATGATGCTCAATAATGACTTCTTTTAATCATTTGAACTTACATCCCTCTTTATTGGTCATATTTCCAAGATAATAGATGTGGCCAAAATCTAGATATTGAACCATGGATCCTGACACAAATCAGCATAGTTTATTCTAGAAAATGTGGGGACAGAGTTAAGATCAACCAAATCTTCTTTAATTCCAACAGGTGCTGTTGGTCCAAACCCAGTGCAGTCTCTTTGTATAAAACACCCCAAGGATGAGTTTGGAGAAGAGAGTTGTTCACTACCATCTTTTCTTCCAGCCATACCATGGCTCCTGCTTATCCTTCACAGATCACACCCAGATAAGCCCAGCTAAATGCCATGCAAACTCAAGTCTGTTTTGCCATACAACAAAGAGGAGCCCATGGAAAACCTGCCAACTAGACAAAAGAGCCTGAACCTCCTCTCTGTCTCCCTCATAGTGGAGGTGGATGAGCTTTGAGGTACTCTAGAAGCCAAAACTCTCATTGCATCTAATGTCTGTTTATTGATAAAGTCCTTAAAATATGTATAATCGCTGAGAGAGATGCAAATCTGGACCAATACATTGGTGTCTTGACTTTGAATCATCTGAGCTACTAACATAAGGCAAATTAAAGTCCCTCAGATAGAGACAGGGTAGGTTCTTGAGCCAGCAGTGAGGCTGAGGTCACTGCTTCCAGATGATATAGTCCCCCAATATGGGACAATATGGCAGCATGCAGGACATGAGTTGTGAAAGATTCTTATACTAGGGAGTTCTCAACTTTTAAAGGATGACCCTTAAAATTCATCAATGAAACTCAAAACATAATTAATAAAAAATAAAAGGTGATGTAATGACCAATACCCTCGATAATGTTTGCTTTAACTTGGATGGCTATCCAGATGAGCCCAGAAGGAAGGGGAAACAAAAGAAAAAGACTTTTCATCATTTATTCAGCTCTCTGTAGGGCAAACATAGATAAGGCTGACATAAGTATTCCTATCTTGAGAACAGTGTTCTCTGCAGTAAAGCAGGGAAACTTCCAGGCTTTCCCACCAAGGAAATATCCTCACAAAATGAGCCAGGCCCCCTTGCTCCAATTCCTTGCTTAGCTAGCAACCATCTGATCATTAATTAAATTGGTATTATACTTTTAAATAGAGTTTTTATGACTTGCTTATGATTAATCAACCCCCCCCCCAGGACTTATCCACCTCAAGGGGAGCTGACAAAATTGAATTCTTTAACCTGCAAAGATCCAGGGCCCCAAACACTGTCGTTACCCTCTCCCCACTTGTTCTGCCGAAGTCCCCTCCCAGCAGTTGGCCCTCTAACTCTCCCTTCTGGCTAATCTGCTCACTTACAACAATATCAGTGAGCACTCCAGGGGCCACTGGCTACTGCTAGTTGTTTGACATGCATGCTCAGAAAATAAACAAAGTAGAAATAGCTTATCTATGATGTGAAAACGGTAATAAATAGGCTGTGCAGTTTAAGGGAGAAGGCAGAAGAATCTTAAACTAAAACCAGGCCTGATTTGTTCATTAACCACTGCATATGCTGTAGTAGAGGAGGATGCTGTCATCAAATTAGTTATTTTTCACCTCAATTAAATATCTAGGTTATAGCCCCATGGACAGAATCTGGAGGAAACAGTACATGGCTAAGAAAATAAAAACTTGTCTCTTAAATGTTTCACTAGTTATTCTTTTGTTTTCTAGCCCTGTGTCCCTGCTACCTTTAGTATGGTCCTGAAAAAGGGGGTATATTATAGTCACCACTTTGGATTCTGGAAATGTGGTATATCTCTTGACCTTAATTCATCCTTCTTGTTAAATCCCATGTGGCCATCCTCCCAGACAAGCTTTCACAAACTCCAATACAGGAAGTGCAGACCTTCTCATCTCTGGAAAACCATGTCTATCCACACAGTCCTCTCTCATCCAGAATTGTCTCTTAATCAAGAAGCTTTGGGTTTCTCGTGTTTGTGTCAATGCTATTTGTTCTACACAAATATTCCTTCAAGAAAGAATACATTCTCACACTCTTTTTCAATTTGTCCTTCTTGCCTCAACCTTGCTCTTCTCTTACCTAAAACACTACAAGTCTCTTCTCTAGAATATCTCTGACTTTGACTCCAGATTACCTACTCTGGATCTTTAGGCCTCTGCCCAAATTTTCTCTCCTTTTTATATTAAAAATAATCTCTGTCTCTGTAAAGCTTATCAGTGATTTTCTAATCCAATTCAGGGCCCTCCCTGTTCTCTGAATTGCCTCACTTTCTCTCCACCTCCTAGTCTGGTTCAAATATAAATTTTATTAATGATTTCCAGATTAATGACAGTTCAGCAAGCAAGCAAGTCAAAGTGTCCAAGGGCATGTGGCATGGAGAGTGCTGTAGTGTACTGACTTACTGAATCAATTAGCAAATGGTGCCAATAGGATGGGACTGGAACTAACAGGATGAGATGGACCAGAGACAAAACTGATAAGTAAGAAAAGCACGACATGATGAATATTCTATAGTTATTTCAGATCATGGTGACCAAAACATCATAGTGTTTTGATTGAGGAAGGGTCCAGAGATTATAGTTATGAGTGCACTCAGGGTGCAACATTTTGGAATAGCATACCTTTGCCAAGGGGCAACTGTCTCATCTCCACGTCCTGTGGGTTGACCTGCTCTTCTCTGAAGCATGTGTTCAATTCAGTGCATCACATTTGAAAAGAGACATTGACCAAGGGAGGAGGACAAAGGGCAGGTTTCTGGATGGTGAGGATTCCAGGAACAATGTTTGATGAGAAATCACTCAAAGAAGTGGGGATGTCTATTTGGCAAAAGAAAATAAGCTGTTATATACTGCTTAAATAACTGTCAGCAGGCCAAAAATCACAAACTCAAATTTTTAAGAGATTGGGCAGGAATGCAGATGAGGAAAATAGGACATGCATAAAAAATTCTTAAGTGTTCAAGTATGATAGTGCTACTAGAAATGCCACCTGGCTTCAGCAATGGCAGGGAGGCCTACAGAGCTGTGATATCTGAAAGCAGGATCCCACCAATTGTTGTCCTGTAGAGATGAGCCAACTATTGCCATCTTTTCTGATTTCTCAAGACAAGAAATCAGACTTTCATGCCACATGTTTCAACTTTAATTTTAGCAACTATTTGAAAATGTTAAAAGAAACAATGGTGCCTATGGGCAGATGAAAGCCCAGCATTGCCAGTTCATAAGATGTACAGGAGTAAATTCTTGGTTTCAACAGAGTACAGGGATAAAAGGCATAGGTGGAAGGTTTTTCTGAGTAATGAAAGAACTTTCAAATGTTTAGGATTCATAGTCAGAGAACAGGCTTTCTATCCAGGTTCTGAGCAATAGGAAATAATCAAGAGAATATTGGATGACAATATATGAGAAATGTTAAAAGGATTTCTCCTTAGGCATAAATGTTGAACTAAATCATATTACAATTGTGTTTTCACAGCAGAATCATTTCCAGTTTACAAAAGCTTTGATATCACCTCATATTTAAAGTTATTGGAACAATTCTTCAAAGTTGAAAAGTAAGATACTAAATAACTTGCAGAATCATGCAGGAAACTGATAACAGAATAGGCCCAAGTGACTCAAAGCCTCTAACTCCATATTCAAAACTCTTTCCATGCTGCTTTGTAGGCAGACTCGAAGGCTGTGAGATTCTGTCCCTAGTAATGCTCTCACTGAATTCATTCATTGGTATTTTCCCATAGCCAACATGCTCTTCTGGAATCTCCTGCTCAATTCCATATTTCCGGGATGTCTTCCCTTTCCTTCCATATCTCCCTGGAGGCTTGTATCTTTCATGGTGTTTTTTTTTTTAATATCTTCCAACCTGAGTCTATCAACTATAGGAAGGTTCTCCCAACAATCAGTGCTCCAAACTGGACTTATTTTTGACATGTACCTGTCCAAAACATTTATCTTCTATCTCTTACATATTTGTCTTTATGTCAAAGGCCTGTCTTAATTTATCCAGGAACAAAGACACATACATGAGTTGTTACTTGATCAATAAATCATCAAATTATTGTTTTTTCTAGACTTGTAGGTCAGCCAGGAGGAAGAGATGTTGTCAACTATGGCTTCTAGTTCTAACAATCATCCCTACTTCCCAGAAATTTCAATTCTGATGAAAGCCAGTTGGGTAGCCTTTGCCCCACATGCCCAGATGAGGAGACAGAGTAAAGATTTGGCTGTCTGTATTTCATGCTGATCAATGCCAATATGAAATATAACATCATTCCTTAGGGTGAGGTGAAACTTATCTGGGAAGAACACACACACACATCCCTTATCTAGGAAGAATACACACACTTAGGAAATACTCTCAGTTTAATATCTCATCACACACACACACACACACACACACACACACACACAAAATATGGAGAAATCCCTGACTAAGCAAAGCTTCCAAATGATTTAGATTAGCTAAAACAGACTTTTTAAAATGAAGCACCGCCAATGGTTTTTCCGTGTTGACTCATGGACATTAATCTAGTGCAAGGACATTTTCTGATATACTAGATTTAGGCCTGTGCAGCCAGCTGTGTGAAATAATCATGACTTGCCGCTCTCATTTAAAATGAAAGACAAAAATGTAGAGAAAATGGAAAACATGCATAGAAAGAGGCAAGGGGGGCAGGCAAGGGGGGCGGGGATATCCCAAGAATTCTGCTGCATTCAGCCCAGCAGGGAGAAGCCTGTTTTTGTTAGGTTTGGATTGTTTGTTTTGTTTTGGTGATCTAGCTGGTCAAATGACCAGTTAAGAATATTTCATAGAGCGAATGTTCCGATGCTCTAATCTCTCTAGGCAAGGTTCATATTTGTGTGGGTTACTCATTCTCCCTTTGTTGACTAAGTCAATAATCAGAATCAGCAGGTTTGGAGTCAGATTGGCAGGGATCAGCAGCCTGGCTTGGGAGAAGGAAGTATAAAAGCCCCCAACCTGGGAGCAGCCATTACAGAAGTCCACTAGTTCTTGGCAGGATGGCTTCTCACAGTTTGCTTCTCCTTTGCCTTGCTGGACTGGTATTTGTGTCTGAGGCTGACCCTACGGTGAGTGTTTGATCCTATGAGGTCCTTTTCATATATTGCACATGTACATTAGATGAAACAGAAGTGACTTCTAGCTTTGGCAACCAGCTTGTGTTCCTAGTACAGGGGTACCCAGCATCTATGTTTAACAACAGCAAGTTAAGGCAGAGTTTGCTGACTGGGGCTCAAGTCCTGGGCTCTTTCAGCTGTTGCCTTGGTATATTGAGTATAATGCTTAGCACCTCAATGTCCTCAGATAGATGCTAGAAATAAAAACATGATATCAAAGAAGCTGTTAATACTGAATTTTCATAAAAGCATCTCTTTATAAAATATATTGGGGAAAACTCTATGAGTTTATAATCTGGCCCGTTAGCTAATCAAAATGTATTTGGCTGGTGAACAACATTCTAGAGCAGTACTGATTCTTAAATCTGTTAGAATTAAACTAATACTATAAAATGTATCTGGAAGTACTCTGGCATTATTTTATACCAACTGATAACAGGGAATTATTATAGCAACAGTTGATTAAAATGATCTCAAGGAAAATAACTCTGGCACATTGCACCTTTTCAGTAATTTCACTCAAATGGAGAGGCTGAACAGAGCAACTGTTCTCAGAGGGCCTATTTTCTCTTTTAAAATTCATTACACATGTTCCAGGTCGATAGCAGTGTGTCTGGAGGAGAAACCATTCTTGCTTTGGAAACAATTATGTCTGTGTTATACCGAGTAGGGAAGCTCATTAATTGTCAACACTTATGTTACTGATAATGGGATCAGCGTGTACTTCCAGCTTTGTTCCAAATGTCCAGCATGGTAAAGAATAAATCCTTTCCCTTTGATCAATTTTGTTGAATTCTCACTTGTTTTCTCTATGTCCAGGCCACTGAGCAATCCAAATGTCCTCTGATGGTCAAAGTCCTGGACGCTGTCCGAGGCAGCCCTGCTGTCAATGTGGGTGTACAAGTTTTCAAAAAGGCTGCTGATGAGTCTTGGGAACCATTTGCCTCTGGGTAAGTTACCAAAGACCCCTGCTAAGGACTGATTATATCTTCCCCCTCCCCCTGCACTTGTGAGAAAGAGGCTTACATCATCCACTAACGAATCTATAAGTAGATTTAAAAAGTGGGTAGGGCTGGAGGTTTGGATCAAAGCCCTGAGTTCAATACCCAATACTGGAAAAAAAAAAACAAAAACCCAAAACAAAAAAAATATGTTTTTCCCCTAAAATGTGAGCAAGGGGTCAAGTGTGCCCTGACAAGGATCCCTGTTCTTCCTTTACTTTCCTGAGAGTAACAAAGAACTAGAGTGTCATTTAGGGCTGATGGTTAGGAAAAGGAAAAGAAGGAGTCAGTAGCTCTTCTACTTTTCACGTCACAGACCACTGACACACACATACAAAAATATATATGTAATTTTATGGGTTTCATAGGTTTTTTGGTAACCCTGGGTGACACGCAGGCTGAGAGCCCTTATCTTAGAATTTTAGGAAGGATGTATAATGTTTGTTAATTTGCTAATGAAAGGAAAGAAATTGATAAAACACCTACCTGGAGTTTACTTGGATCATTAAGAATCCAAGGATTTTTGTCTAATGACAAAAGTGTAAGGCTGGTGGCTGTCAAGCTCGTAAGGAAAAATACCTAAGAGAAGGACATGTAAGGCAAAAATCCAGCTACAAACTAAAATTGCAATCTCCCAATACTTGTGCAAAATGAATCCTCAACCTTCATTAGCTACTTTACAATCGTCAGGGAGGCTTTATTTTTTTTTTTAAAAAAACCTCCCTTAGTAAGAATTTCAAAGAAAATACATACTAGAAAACCTAAGCAAAGTAACCAAAAGGAAGAACAAGTAAGAAACCTCAGCTCTAAACAGAAGAGGAGCTGCGAAGTATTTATGCCTCCTGGGAGAAGGTTTCCTGTTGGGTTTTAGTTGCATCCCCAGAACTACATTGTGAGTCTTCACCCACGATTGGGATGATTGTTGTCTTTTGTGGGATTTTAATTGAGGTTTTATTTGTTAATTTATTTATGTTTATATAAAATGCCAAACACAACATGGAAAGTGGTTAAAAAGAATATTCTAAGTGGGAGATAGAATGGGCACCAAAAATATTCACATTTTCTTATGAATCTTTCTTCTTGTATCAAGACACACACACAAAAGGAAGTGAAAAGGCTAGATGGGGGCAGGTATGGCTAAATTACTAAAGATGACTCCCATTTTTATCTTAGCTTTTGTAGTCGAACAGGGAGCAATTTCTAACATTTCAACTACTGAGCTGGTACCTATATGCAAATGAAAGTTGCCTAGTATTTGTTGTTGACAAATAATATTACTAAAAAGATAAGCATATAAAGGGAAAAGATTCAGATGCAGGTCTTCTTTATTCATTAGCTCTTTCTTTGTGTGTGTACAAATGATACTGCCTCTGGAAGGTCCCTCAGGCTAGGGGACCCAGGAGCAAGACCCTGCTGTCCTGTCATGCAGGATTGCAGAGTTATAGAGCAGCTTACATGAACTTTCATCTAATCACCAGCCCTGAACCCTGAATTTTTTGGTGGTGGTGCTGCTGCTGGCGATCAATTCCAGGGGTTCACACATGCTTGGCAAGAATTCTATTTAGCTGCACCCCAGCCCTTAGGATTTTTATTTTTATTCCTATATTTTGTTCTCATAAGAGCAAAAATCCACAATAAGCTTTTGGAAAAATTTCTATGAATTTCCTACCATATAATTTCAAAGAGTTATTAGAGTTTTTCCCCTCCTCACTTAGTTAAGGGAAAAAATATTTCTGTATCTATATATAATTTTTAATATATGTTTAAGTATATGAGTTTTTATATATTCTTTATCACACACAAATGCTCACAAGTGTGTGTGCTCTGCCATGTCATTTGTTCCTTTTGTGACTAACCTAACCTGGACTTTCATACCTTACAGGAAAACCAGCAACACTGGAGAGCTTCATGGGCTCACCACAAATAAGAAGTTTGTAGAAGGTATGTACAAAGTCGAAATAGACACCAAATCCTACTGGAAGGCACTGGGCATTTCCCCGTTCCATGAGTACGCAGAGGTGAGTATATAGAGCTTTCATGTGTTTTTGGCATGTCCCAGGAAATGCACAGTTTGCACTCAGCCTACCATGTAAATGTCGTAAGGAATTTTCCAAAAGGAAAGCACAGCCTCCCTTTCCCATCCTCTAACCAGAAATCCCCAACACACCCAGGAGCAAACCTTTTTCTGAGTTTGTTGAGAACTCATTTAGTAACATCACCTGAACTCCCATGACCCCATTTATGTTCTGTTCACATGAATATTTCTTTGCTGAAGAAATATTGATTTGTTCGGTTAAAAGCAGCCCCCAGGCCCTCAGGGTCTGAACTCAGGACTTCATGCTTATGCTTGAGCCACCTCCAGCCCCATATCACTTCTCTAAAACCTGAACAATTCTTCATTCTGAAACACATCTGGCTCCCCAGAGGGTTTGGACAAGCAATTCTTGCCAAAGCACAGAAAAACAATAAATTCAAGATAATAATGACAACACAATAGATAAATTTACCAAGTGTACATCACATTATCAGGAACTATGGCAAGTGTTTTCTGTATGTAACCTACTTTATCCTCATGACCAACTCACTAAGGTCAGTCACATTATTATTTTCATTTCACAGAAGAAGAAAGTGAGGCATGGGGAAGTTTACTACCTTGTCAAAGGTCACATAACGAATCAGTAGGGGAGTACTTACCACCAGGGTGCAGAATGGGTTTAGCTTCAACGTGGCTATGCCTCCTAGCGACTTGGGAAGCTTTTCCCCTTTGAACAACCAAGCTAAAACAAAAACAAGCAAATCAAAGCCACATGTGTACCTTTTTCTTGCGTTCTTTTTCAGTTCTAGTGATCAAACTCTGGGCCTTGTGCATGCTAGGCAAGCAATCTACCACTAAGCTATACTCCCAGCTCAAAAGACCAATCCAATTTTTTTTTTTGTCCAGTGCAAAATAAAGGGGGGGACACACAGCGGTATCTGATTTTTGTTCGTTTGTTTTTTTGGCCTCAAACTCATGATCCTCCTGCCTCAGTCACCTGAGTGCTGGGATTATGATGGGTGCTACAATATCTGGCTCAATATTTGTAACCCCTGATTTGCACTCTGTTCTTCTGTTTATGAGGTATGGATCCTCAAACAGTTATACACAGTCCCAATCTCCCTGCCTCCTCCTAGTCTTCCCTCTGTAAGTCATTTAAAACAGATGGCTGTCATGGAAATAGAATCCAGACATGTTGGTCAGAGTTAAAGATCAACTAATTCCATCCAAAATAGCTCAACATGAAAGGGAACCATTCTTGCTGGCTTAGTCATGGATGAGACTTTCAATTAACATAGTGCTTTTGCCAAACATTGTTCCCAGGGAAACTGTATTTGACTTCCGGGGCCCACAAAAGTGACCAAGGAGTCCTAGCCATCAAGAAGCATGTGTCTGGCTCCTCCTCAGCCAGGCAATAAGACACCGAGCCAATCAGAGCAGGTGTAGGTTTTAGATGGTGCACCACAAGATACTCTGAACCCCTGTCTTGAACACTGGATCATCCTCCATGGGACCACTGTTTGCCCAGGGTCTCAGCTTGATGAGGGAATCTGAAGATATTCATAGCCACATTACCCATGGCACATTGCTCCTATTAGACTACTTGTCTGCTCTTCACTCATTTAGTATTCACTTGACAAACATTTTCAAATAAAAACCTTCCATGTGTTGAGTACTCTGCTAGGTGCTAGAGATTTAGAAGTGAACAGACATCCCTGCCCTTGGCATGAAAGGGAAGGGGTACTCTAATACATAGCAGAATCACGAGTCTGGCTTGGAGCCTGAATGGACATGGGGGTGGGAGAGAAAGAATAATGAAGCTTAGATCCTACTGCCTCGTGGTCACTGGTGTGTGGTGGCTTCAGTCACAAGCTCCTTTGCTGTGTCTGCTTCCAGTAAGATCCTTCCAGAGATGGAGTCCTTCAGAGCAGGCCACCTCCTCCCAGCCAGTGACCAAGGTAGTCATATCAGACTTACCAAGGAAAATTATGAAACTTCCTTCAGAACCATTCACTTCTTCACTTCATGGAGTTTTGCTCACAGGTTACACCGTTTCCAATTCTGAAGATTCCGAAGAATCAAGTGGAATAGAGGACTATGTCACCAAAAAAAAAAAAAAAAAAAAAAAAGATAAGAAAGTTAGCCCTAAAGGGCTGATCTGTTTTCACTATAATTCACTCAGTCATACAGGTTTCCTTTCCTTTGCCCATATTTGGAACAGAAAGTAGCCAAAGCTCAACCCAGGGCCTGTATACAAAATAAGAAAAATTACACATATCCTCACTGCCCACCAAGTCTCCCCTGAAGAGAATTTGTCCTGGTTGGCCTCACTCTGGACACCAGTGCTGTCCCAGCACCAGAGTCTTAGATGCTTTACTGAATTTGAGAAGTGCAAAACTAATTAATTGCAGCAATACTTCAATCCATAATTTGCCCAATCAGAAAACTTAAATGAGTCCCAAAGCTTGCGGGTGTATTTCGGAATTCCAACTGGATCTTCCACTCACTGCTGGAATATAAATAGAGCCCTATACTGCTTTTACTCTATAACTCTTTCCTTGCTAAATACTTAAAAATGTTCATCTTCTTCATGTTTGAAAATGCAAAGGAACTGTGGGAGAAAACCTCTGGGTGTGAAGACAGGAGACTTCATTCTTGGTGTGGCTCTGTCACTGTATCAACTTGGCAAACACTAAAGCAGAATTCTGGTTTGCTTATCTGTATTTGCTGCTCAGCTTCAAAATTCTAGGTCTCAGAGTCTATGGTTGGGACTTAGCAGTCACCATTCCCAGCAGGTCTTCAGTCATTGGATGCCAATGTTCCCTCCTTCCCCATCTTTTTCTGAACCTCTGAAAATGAACAAGAGTCTAAAGGCTCTCTGTTACTCCCCTGAGTGAAGGCTAGGGTCATCCAGAGTGTTGGTGTGAGTTTGCAAAGCAAGAGAGCTGCTTGCGCAGGCAATAAGGAGGAAGACCTCTGAGAGCTGCACAAGGTTCCAAAGGCTTAGCTTGCTGGCATATTTGGATTTTTACTTGTTGTTCTAGTTATTCCAAAAAAAATGAGCTAATAAAATAAAAACAATTAATTTGGCTCTCTGTCTGTGGCTCACTTTTTGAGTTCTGTCTGTCTTCTCTCCTAGGTGGTGTTCATCGCCAATGATTCTGGCTTCCGCCACTACACCATTGCGGCTCTGCTCAGCCCCTACTCCTACTCCACCACTGCTTTGGTCAGCAACCCACAGGAGTGAGGGACTTGACTGAAGAGAGACTGGAATTCATGTAACCAGCAGTATTCCATTTTTACTAAGCAGTGTTTTCACTCTATAAACTGTATTAGAAACTCAGGAAGAGACCATAAAACATTCCTATTAAAGCACTTCTCATTTCATTTGAACTTGATGTTTTTATTCCCTCACTGTTTCCTCCCTTCCCCTCCCCAAATCCAAATTTTGCAGGGAAGCAAAAGAATTCTAGAAAGTCTCTGGCCAGAACTCGGGGAGAGAATCAAATTTCCAATGTTTTGCAAGCAAAGTACATATTATGCACAGACTGTTGCCATTAAAAACACACATCTTGAAAACAAGAAAGCTTTGTTTTCCTAGAACCTTAGTAAATAGCAAAAAATTGTAAGGACCCAATTCTTTACTCTGGGCATATTTCTTTTACACCATTTATGATGTCAAGACTAGTGCAGCTCCAGTGGTACCTACCTGAGGTGACTATGCCCCTCTGATCTAGCATAGATCAACTCTACCAGCAATCAGCTGAGGAAGGGACATAACCACAGAGCCCTCCCACATCCAATCTACTTAAACTAATACAGAATTCATGTAAGAAAAACCCACATGTGCCAGGCAGTGTTGCAGGTATTCTAAGCATCAAGAATAAGACCTAGGGCCTGTGTTTATTTATCTTTTGAGAAGATAACTATCTCATTCACCGTGAGTTGACAGGGGCTGTGGTACAAGGCACAGTGTGGGTTTGAAGGAAGAAGAAGGCAACAGCCTGGAGAAGTCAGAAAAAGACTTAGAATGTGCATCAGTCACTAGTGCAGTGGCACACACGTGTAAACTCAGGACTTGGAAGGAGAACCAAGAGGATGGTGAGTTCCAGGCCAGCCTGGCCTACATGTGAGATTCTGTCTCAAAAAAAAACAAAAACAAAAGGCATCACTCAGTCCAAGTGGTGGTGGTTTGTTACCTGGAAGGTGTTCTAGGTACAAAGACTAGAGACTGTAAGGCCAGGCTGAGTGAAACAATTCAATAAGTTGAGGGAACAGGAAGTTGAAGACAAGGGGTATTAAGTTAATATTGTGCCACTGTAACAAAACACCCCATATCTCAGTGGTTTATTCCATACTCACACCAGGTCCAAAGCAAAAGTTCTTTCTCTGGTGACTTTTCTTCAAAGGATGACTCTGACACCCAGTTTAATTTAATCTTGTGACCTCAAGGTTACCCTAGTGGCATCTGGCCAGCAGAATGACAGAAGAATGTCATATTACACCTCTTGGTGCCTCAGTCCCACTGGCATTTCACTGGCCAGAGGTAGTTACTGGGTATTATAGACTCTTTTCTGTTGCTGTAACAGAATACTTGACATGAATGACTTCTACAAAGAAAAGGGGTTTATCTTGCATCATGGTTCTGGAGTTTGGGAAGTCCAAGACCATGGTACCAGCATTTGCTCAGGTTCTGGTTCAACTCATGGCAGAAAGCAGAAGGGCAAGCAGGCACAGGTGGGAGAGACAAAAGAGGGGCAGCTGTGCTTTATCATAACCTGCTCTTATTAATTAATTAACTTATTAATTAATTAACTAATTCAGTTCCTCCACAGCAGGAACCCACTCACTACTGCAAAATTAACCCAGTCCAGTGAGAAAGGACTGGGCTCCACCCTCATACCCAACATCTCCCACTAGGCACTACCTTCCAACACTGTCTCACTGAGGAATTCAGGTGAACTTTTGTGTGACACACTCGAATCATAACCCATGGCCCCATCTAGATACACTGAGAAGTCTGGTCTCTGGCTGGGAGTCTTTTCCAAGAACAACTCTCCATTTTGGAAGATGAGTACTAATCTACATGACCAATAACCATCTCTGCCACATGTGGGTTGGAGTGTTGGGAAATAAGATTTTATCTGCCATCCATATCTCAAAGGCATCACGGATCCATTGAGGAGAGTTTTGGCATCGGTCTTCCCCCACCTGCACCCTCCGGGGCTGGGGGAAGAAGAGCTACTGTTACACAAAATCTCCAACCAGGATCTCCAAATAAACCCGAGTCAGACACATGGCTGAGGCTTAAAATTACCTAAGCAGTTTTTCCACTTTTCTACAAATTCAAATCTAAAAATCTCGCCACCATCTGTTGGCCATGAGAGCAAGAAATTTGAAGAGAATGGAATGAAGGTTTGGACTTTTAAACAAATATTGAGTTTTCCCAAAATATGTAGCAAATCAATGTCACTGATTCTGTTCAACGTTGTTAGCTAGTACTTGTCCCATATACATTAGGTTAATCTATATCAGATTGATAGCTTTTAGCAATTTTATAAGGTTCAATGTATTAATTATATTGATTGTGTTGGTGACTAACCTCATTATTTCTAGAATGCTGCATTTCAATTGGGCTGTTGTTAAATAGCTATGGATTTCTGAAATCAAAATGATTTGAAAATATGAATCAGTTTGAAATATGTGTGTAAATGCGCACACACACACACACACACACACACAGCTTTCTGCCCCCTCTCCACTTTCTCTCAGCAAACTTAATCTTATCCACTGAAATTAACTCAGTTTAACTTACAGTTTAATGTCCAGCCTCTGCTTCCTTTCTCCCTGAATATCATCTACCTTCTGAGGCTCTGTAGCATCTTGGTACCAAGAAGAACGTGTTGCCATCCCTGATCATCCTCCATTCATGCTTCTTATCCTAGATGCAACTGCTTTTCTCTCTTCCAGTCTTGGTTGTTAGGTGTCAGTATCTCTGTTCATATCCTTTCATGGCCATTGTTATGGATGAAACTGTGTTCCTTAAAAAAGATACACTGAGGACTGGTGGAGTGACTCAAGCACTAGATGGCCTGCCTAGCAACTGTGAGGACCTGATTTCAAACACCAGTACCATAAAAAAAGGATACATTGAGGCCCTTATCCTGTGATACCAGTGCATAGGACAATTTGGGAAGAGATAGGAAGAGCAGCATGTAATGATGGAGACAGAGAACAGAGAACAGGAGCACCAAAGACTGATAGCCATCCACAGAAACTAGGAAAAAACAAGAAAGGATTCTTTCTACATCTTTTGGAGGGAGGATGGTCTCACAAATACCTTGATTTCAGACTCCTATCTTCCACAACTAAGAGAATACATTTCTGTTGTTTTTACATTTGTGGCATTTTGTTACTGTGCCCTAGGAAGCTAATATAGCCTTTATGATTCTTCCAGATTTTATCCTCGGTTTGTAGTCATTGAAATTTTTGCCATTCTTCAAGTCAAAAATTATGTGTAATGTTTATTTCACCTTTTCTTTTTTGCCTGATGTTGCTGAATATATTGTCTTGTATTTATGGGCTGTTTGAAACCTCTTCTGACAACTGCGCGCTTGCCCTCATTAATCTACACGGGTCTGTTTATTTAATATTGAGGTACAACTCTGTGCATATTAAAGGTACCGTGAATTGTTTTTTAAAAGTAGATGTGAAACCCAGAGGAACAGTTATCTAAGTTGTAGAAAACTGTATCAGCCAAGATACTTAGGAGTTTATGTTGCCAATGCTTTCCCTTCTGTGCCCATGTTTGAGAACCAGAAGTGCAAACTACTGGAGAGTGTAGAGGGAACAATCTCACAGCAGCATGAAAGAATAGTAAGTAAAGAACACTAGAACCTAGAATACACATGTGACACTGTTGATGTGGCATTATAGACTGCTGAGGATAAAGGACAAAATTCCACTAAGAGTGGAGAAGACAGAATGGTGCCAATGCTCTACTGTCAGGTCCACCAAGAACACATCTATACATTTATTACTCTTTCCATCAAGAGGGTTTACCCAACCCAACGGGGGAAACAGGAAGCAGTTCACTAAGAGGATGTTAGAGAGAAACTACTATAATATCGTCCCTAAATCGTCAAGCAATTTAGGGAAGAGATGAAGGAAGTCAGGCAGATTGAATGCTGTCAGAAGGTAAGGACAATGTTATGATTATTTCAATTACTTATCTACCAGAGGGCTGCCATCTACACCAGGGCAGAGATAAGTCTGTCTTTGGTAATAAACTACAGCCAGCACTCATTTTAAGGAGCTAGAGATGAGTGATATTTTGTGGGCTTCCCAATTATTTTGTTTTCATCTTACTTTGTCATAGTCTCAGAGTGACCTTATTTTATGCTGCTGTTCTGTGATATTGTTAGGTCCAAAGGGACCTAGCATGAGAGCTAGACTAGCTTGCAATAACAGTGAAGCTAGCTCCTGGGTGTCCTTCTTTTGCTCAGTGTCTATCTGGAATGGGAAACAGCAGATAATCAGTGACAGCCTTGTTGTAGGCTGTGAGAGAATTACAGAAGTCTTTGGAATGTCAGGCATATGTCCTGACTCACAGGTGAACGGACGAGTCTGTAACTGAAAAAGAGCAGAAGAGCAGATTTGTAGCCAGAGATAATAAATCCCATTTTAGTCACACTGAGCTTGAAGCAATCAGGCCAGTTTTCAATCTCCTAGCTTTGAAGTTAGCACTGTACACAAACATAGCCCTCAATAAAGTCATTAGGATATCTGTTGAAAATAAAAATCCTAGCTATTCAAGTGCTTCCTGGACATTCTGAGAATACCTGCCAAGGAAAGAAATTTAGGGTATTTTGTCTCAACCTGTCCACCAAGACTTGTATATAGCAGAGGCAGTACTTCCAAAGAGTTATTTCTCACCAAGTGCTCAGTTTTATGGCCAATTCCTTCCTTTTGTACATCACACTTCATAGAACACATCCCTCCCTTAGCCCCGTTATTTCTCCTTACTGCCTTTCAAAATGGAAATAAGCTTACAATCAATTCTCCTTTCCTCCCTCCTCATTGTCTCTGGGTTAGAACTTCCCTAGCTAATTTAAAGCCAAGACATCTGATAAGTCATCTCTGGCAATCCATACAGTACTGAAGGTCTGTTCTAGAAACACAGTTAGCAAGGAGATGGTCACATGCAGCCTTTCTTAAACAAACCCTTGAGATGCAGAGCTGCCCTTG